CCCTCCTTTTTGCCATTTTTTTCAAATGTCGTGTAATCTATTTGATTCGACAAATGAAATGGCCACGGAAGTGAAGGTATACTTCATGTTTACTTATTAAATTCACTAGTTTTAATGGTCCGCTTGACCAAATTATATTTTTCAATTAATTAAAATTTTTAGTCTAGATAAAAAAAGAAAAATGGCAAAAAGGAGGGGTTGAGAAGGGTTATGCCGGGATTCGAACCCAGAACTGCTACCGTGGCGATTACTTAGTCGGAAGCCCCAACTCGGCCACCGCTGTACCACTACATGTGCATAATACATTTACGCCGTTTTGGTCCACCAGGATCGTTTGGGCAGTACACGATATTGAGATTTTAATTTGGTTTATGGCCAAAAGTGTATTTTATAAACTTAGGCCAGAAAGATAATAGAATGGATTTTGTACGTATAAAAAAATGGTAGCCAACATATTTTAATATATTTTGGATACTCCGGCAAATAAAATCATTAAAAAAAAATAATAATTAGAAAAGGCAAAAAGATTTATTGCTCAGTATTTATATTAAAGCCCAACCTTCATAGGTGATGTTATTTCAATTATTCTTCTGTTGAAAATTTTTTGAACCAGTTAAAAATGAAAAACAGAATTTTGAACAACATAGTTCGTCTTGGTACTTTGGGCCACGTAACCCAACTAGTCATAGCCAGATGTTCCATGGTTGAGATAAACAATTGTCAATACTATACTCCTACTATTCAGTAGGGAAATTATTGTAGCAACTAAAAGCTACAATCAGTTTTTTTTTTTTTAATTGCAATCATATTTATAATATATTTGTAAAATGTAAAACAAGTTTTAGTGACCGGCAATACCTTCGTTCTCCACTACCTAATTTTATAGGCATTGTCATACTAAATTGGTATTATAAAGATTTGTCATAAAGTTTTCGCTATTTCAAGTTATATTTAACGTATTTCAAATAACGTGGACGCTATTTTGCATAACGGACTTTGCCGCTAACGCTGTTTCTTGGGGAGATTGTTTCAGGTTCAGGTTATTGTATCTTGCAAGCTTGTAAACAAACCGTTCACGGATGTTATGGATTTTCTCTTGTTTCCTGACGGTAGTTTGGGTAGTTTGTTCAGCCAATGTTAAAGATCTGATAGTTGTACCTGTACAAACTAAACATTAATTACCGCGTTTTCAAAATAAGTTGAGTTTAAATTGAGGACGAAAGGGTCAAAATCTCTTTAAAAAAAATTCGCTTAGGTTAGCAATTTTAGGAAAAACTAAAATATTACTTAATTATTCAGAAATCGAGAGATGCGGTCTGGTGTGATGTAGGTTTCAGAAAAACATTTTTTTTAATGTTTCGAAACGTTGGCAAGATAAAAAATATTTTTCTGAAACCTACATCAAACCAGACAGCATCTCACGATTTCTGAAGAATTATCGATTAACGGTCACTAATCACCACACATTTCTACAAGAGAAGAACGAAGAACATGGGATTCTATGAACAAATTTCAACTACATATGGACACGCAGCTAAAAGTACTCTGAAGGACATCGCCAACAATGAGAAGAAACTGGCANTCTATAAAAAATAAACCCATGTCAGACAACTTCAATGATTACTTGGTTGCTTTCATGAAAACCTGTATGAATTCTAACATGTTAACTATAAAGTAAACAATTACATCATATTGTAGATGATGGGGTTTGGTCTGCGAGTTGGAGAAGACCATGGATATACTAACAAGCACTCTACACAAAAACTGCGACAAAGAATACGCGACACAGCTTACACAACTCACTAGACTAACCACGGAACAAAACTACTTCAAATTCAACAATGACATATACAACCCAAAAGACTGTCTAGGGATGGGAAACCCAACATCGGCCATTCTCGCAGAAGTATTTCTCCAAAACGAAAGTATTTCTCCAATTCGAAGAAAATCACTTCCCAGAAATAATGGCGAAAAACGGAATACTCCATCTATTTATATACGTCGACGACATACCAGCCATCACAAACAACTCGTCCCCAGAAAACACACTCAGAGACCTCAACACAATACACAAAAACATCACGTTCACTATAGAAACCGAAAACAACAACAGCATCAACTTCTTGGACTTAACACTCACCAGAACCAATAACAAAATCGACTTCAAAATATACAGAAAACCCACTGCTACAGACAACATAATAAATGCACAATCCAACCACCCACACCAACACAAACCTTCAGCACTGCGACACATGATAAACAGACTAAAAACTATCCCACTCAACACCGAAAACTACAACAAAGAACGGCAAACAATAACAAACCTTGCAACAAAAAACGGTTACCAAACAAACACCATACAGAAACTTCTAAAAAACAAAACAAAACAACGAAACACAAATCAACAACAAATGGACAACGTTCACATACACAGGAAAAGAAACCTACAAACTAACAAATCTGTTCAACAAACTCGGACTGAAAACAGCACTAAGGACCAACAATAACACAGGCAAACTACTAAAAAGAAACATAGACACAATTAACCCGCTAGACAGCAACGGTGTTTATAGCATCACATGTCAATGCGGATACACTTACATTGGACAGACTGGAAGGAAACTAAGAGATCGATTCAAAGAACTTCTTAGATCCTTCAGAGACAATGACGGAAAATCAAATTACGCCACACTTAATACACTACAACGAACCGAAGACAATAGAAACAAGCATGACATTAATACACAACGCACAAAAAGGATGAAAACTAAACATACTGGAGAACCTCGAGATATACAAACAAATAACACTTAAAGACAGAAAACTTATAAACGCACAAACAAACTCACAATCGCACACCACCTTCACACCACTAAAAACACTTCATAACAAAAAACGAAAACGTTGAGAAGAACAAAACATCGCAACCAACACCAGGAAAAAACAAAAAACCAACAAAGCACAAATAATAACTGACAATGGGAATTACCGCCACCAAGACCGACCAAGAGCACGGAGACCACGCCCCCTATCGCAACGCCCCCAGCGACAAGCGACGGACGCAATACTATATAAACCCAATAACACGACTACATGACAGACAGTTTTTCACTGAAGATGGCGTAATGCCGAAACGCGTTTGAATAACTCAAACAAAAAACCCGCGAGTGAAGACAGACCCAGTAGTGCCCGTGTGTCAGTTCAACATGAATTACATCATATTTCTATACATAATATATATTTTTTAAATTCAACAATATCTCCAACCAAAACTACTTTGCTTACTTTACCATCACTTATTAGCAAGCACCCTATTCTAAGATAAATAACGTAGGACCCTTTTTGGATAACGTTCCGTTAAATCTGCAAATGCGCACTTCAATCAATTTTTACCGTTCATGTTATGCAAAATCTCCTTATTTCAAGTAAAATGTTTGTCGATACATAATCTTACATGAAAATCATCAAAGTGTAAATATTTGACTAGGGATTACAAGCGATACATTTATACATTACACGTGCTTAGTTGTTTTTGTTTGGTTTGTTTGTAGCTTTTAAGCATTTCTGGCAACCGATTGAGCATTTCGCTTTCTGTCATCAATCATCCATTGAGAAAACACGATTCGGCTTAATTAAAGGACGACGGTCGGAACGGGAGGTGTTAGGTCACAAAGTGGTCCTACCGGCCAATTAGCCGTTTCCTATAACGAGCCGTAATTACCCTGGGGGATAATCTTGAGAACTTTTATGTCGCCGGAGAATTTAAGAAGTGGGCGAAACAAATCGTCCGGCGTCCATTCGACAATTAAAATAATTAATTATTCAAATGAGATAAAGAATGGTTCAGGTGGTATAATTGTCCTATGGAGGAGCTGAGAAACGGATAAGATAAAAATGAGTTGGGATATTTTTTGTAAAATGTTGATTTGATAAACAAGGGAAAAATGGTTTAAGTTTCAAAGCGTTGAAGTATATTTCAATGTTTTTACAACGCAATAGCCGCGTTTGTACCTCGAAATGTTTTGATTTCCATGGAGGGTGGTTTTTATTTTGTATTGAAACACAATATCTAAAATTAATTTAAACAATCCCCTCTGGCAATAATTTCGATATTCATTCTAATGGAAGAACAACACTTCTCTTGTTTTATAAATGGCGTTTTACAGACACGTGGCGATTTATTAAAAATCATTAAAATACAAAACGGGTATTTTCGGAAAATCCAGATTAATGGGAAGGTGTCAAGACGGGAATTTTCTTTTTCAGCCGGGGGTAAAAATAAGACTTTACCCTGGACGTATACAAGAATCCTAACAGGCAGGTTTGGACCTCTTTTCAATAACCAATCCCCGTTTAGGCCCGAGGCGGATCCAATTTTAATTCCGACTCGGCATCCCGGAGCGGATCATCCCCTAAGCCGCGGATCATCCGGGTTTACTCCCCTACTCCGCCGCGGGTGGAATTTATACGCTCCCGAAAGGAGATTTATTGGGATAAACTATGAAGTGAGGCGAGAGAAAGGAAGATACGGATAAGGACGCCTCGGGAAATCGGCCCAGACTCTTCGGAACTGCGTCTAAGAAGTTAAAAAGATCCGAGAGGAATAATATCCCAGGCAACGGGCCATTACACACCAAATCGGTGCACCTTTTATGGTGAATTAAGTGGCTATAATTCTTTGAGTTGGGCTGGATATCTAAACACCTGGGAGAAAGACTTCCACTTTCAGAATGGTTTGTGTTGACGAGGACAAAATTACCGGAATAAAGGCAAATAACTGTCTAATAGCTAAATAAAAACAGTGGGGGTGGTATTAACTACAATAATGTGAATCAATTTGATAATAATTGAAAATCGTGTAGTTATAAACTAACTCATTTTAGCTATAAAACGTTTTATGACAAGCGAAGAAATATTACCCCCTTACATCCATTTTTTACTCACTTCTACAAGTTTTATTGAAATGAATAATCGTTGTTTGTTTTTGTTTTAGCTTGCAACTGCAACGGCCACGCCAGAAGATGCAGGTTCAACATGGACCTTTACAAACTATCGGGACGAGTTTCCGGCGGCGTTTGTCTCAAGTGCAGGCATTTCACAGCGGGCAGGCACTGCCACTACTGCAAAGAGGGCTACTACAGGGATATAACCAAGCCCATAACTCACAGGAAAGTCTGTACAGGTAATTATCAAAAAGAAAGCCCAAAACATTGGCAAATTTCCACAACGGAGATTAGGGTTGTTTTTGTTTCAATCTAGGAAAGTGACTTGATTAAAATTCAGAGAGAGTATCCTTTCCCCTTAATTAAAAGACAATTAGCGTCTGTTTGAGCATTATGGGATCAAGGGGGTGATCGTTTTAAGTCCCTATGTATATAAATGGGGATTTCTTTAAAAACACTGCCCCATTTTTAGGGTCCCGGGTCAGTTTAGCGTGGGATCCGGAAAGGTGTCCCTTGGGCGCTTCTAGAATTGACAGGGGCCGTTCGGTTTCGTCTTGATGGCTCCCTTGCGGTGAACCGGAATAAAACGGAAACGGACATTCTTGTTTTATTTTGTTTACCCCTTGACAATCATCGAATAAACGGACTTGGGGTGAAAAAGTGTGAGCCTTGTATTTCAAGACCTTAAACCACAGAAGACACGACTTGTTACAAATTTCTGCATCACTCTTGACAATTCAACAAACAAACCTGGAAAGAAAAACGTTATTAAAACTTAAGCTTCGGGAAAGGCCGAATAAAGTTAAGATAACCAACTAATCCCCGATCAACCTCAAATGACAACTGGCAGACCAAAACGCAGACATCCTTGACGGCGCGAGGCCACACATAGGCTCGCCGGGTAGACAGCGATGATAGACGGACCAAGATATTCAACTGATGGGCCGGGCTACTTTTCTCAGATCCCTGATACCAGATAAATATGAAAATGACGATGTAGAGAGATTAATTTAGAGAGTTTGCATGTTAATGTGTTATTTTATTTATTTGATAAATATTTATCGATTCATTAGTTAACAATTATGTAAAACAAACTTAATAACATGATTTAAACTGGCTGTGTTAAACGTACATAATAATAAAGAAAACAATATGCAACTTATACTTTCTTATACTTGATAGATAATTACTTGTCATTGAATTATTTATTTATGAATAGACAATATGAAATAGTTGAGTAATTCTTAAAAGAATCGTTTATTTTCTTATCGTTAATTTTTCTTCTGGATCCAAAGGATGATAAATTTAAGTCTTTCATTATTGGATCGATATTGAAAATATGTAAGCTGTTGCCAAATTTAGAATGTATACTATAGAAGTTTTGAATACTTTAAATGTATATGCAGATCCCGCGGTCGTGGGTTCGATTCCCACCGTGGTCTCTGGCCTTTTTTTCACGCTACCCTTCCCCCAAAAACGAATACGCATAATAACATTGTCTTTGGCTAATATGCTCAGAACATAAAGCCATTAAAAAAATGTATATGTTTGCCTTGATCACGTTTTTTTCACAAGGTCACAGCATAAACACTAATGCTCAGAGCTGAAACAGGAGGACACATACCATGAGAAACCAGCCAGTGTTGGCACTAAGTGAGAGGGATTGGGGGGCTAGAGCAGGGTTAGGTCGGATCGAAAGGTTAGTGCGAAAATTTTCGATTTGGGAGCGAATCAGCTCGTTGACAAAAGAAATGTTGAGGTCGTAGTGGTTGAGGTTAGTCTTCTAGAAAGTACCTTTGACAATTTGTCTGAATAATTTTAATTGGAAGAATTGGATGAGCTGGATGTTAGCTGGCTTGGCAGAACCTCACAGTACCACCCGTTTATCCAAAGTGGTCGCAGTAAATATATATNTATATATATTATGCAGGGCGGGCGACCAAGACCCGAAGGGTTAAATGCCTGGGTAGACTCGTACCCCATCCCTAAAGAGTCCGGGACTCGATCGGCTCACGTGTCCTGCATAAACCTCTTGGACTTGTCCACAAACCCCAAGATTTTGGACCATTTTATCTCGGGGAGTGATTTGGTAATGTCCTCTCCTTCAAAAGTTTCGAATCTATACCTGTCGTACCTATCACACTCTGCGAGGTAGTGCCGTGCCGTTTCTTCTTTTATTTCACAAAAACAGCAGAAGCGGTCTGGTAAAATACCCATGACGAAGAGGTGTCTTCTCAAAGGGCAATGGCTCGTCAGGATACCTATCAGCCTCCTAATTCCCTTCCTTGAGTTAGAGAATAGCCATTTCGATTCTTTTGGTTTGATCTCCTTCACAGTCTCCTTCGATTGCCTATGTCCGGGGGACAGATTCCATTCTTTAAGGAATTGTTTCATGCCCCAGCTATTAATACTCTCTTTCGCTGTGCTTATAGAGTGAGGTAATACCGGTTGTGGCCCGACAAATGCAGTATTTGAGCCTTCTTTGGCCAGGCTATCCGCCTCTTCATTGCCATAGTGTCCTTTATGTGCTGGTATCCAAATGAGTGTTACCCTATTCTCATACCTAGAAGTGATCCTATTGATAAGTTCAACAGTTTCCTCCACCAGCCTAGATATTGATAATTCTTTTTGTAATGACCTAAGACTGGCCTGACTGTCGGAAAAAATTCTAATATCTTTTCCCTTGATTTTATTATCCATAAGTGTTCTGCAGCAAACATTAATGGCCCATATTTCCGCCTGAAAAATGGAGATGTTATTATAGAGGGGAGGAGATGCTGATCCCTAATTTAGGTATACGTATTCCAGTTGTTTGGTCATAGAAATCTTCGTAGTAGTCCAAGTGAAATTGTTGACTGTTAAAGTCTTGTGTGAGGCTCCTCAACAGTCTGCTGTCCAAGTGTAGGCCTATGTTTTTGACTTGAGTGGACGTCAGTATACATTTATTGGTGGTGTACAGTGGAAGGCAGGACTGTTTTTTCAATGTGAACGTACACTAAATACATTGTTCTTGATTTAGTCCTCCCCTTTTTACATTTATCTTCGATAAGCTCAAGTTGTTCTTGGGTGTTGGAGGTAGCTTGGATAGAATTTAAATCAGAGGACAAAATTGCGGTATGATGATGGTATTGGCGTGTGTAGGTAGGTCAGCAGTATAGATGATATGATCAGACAAAGAATGCTCCCTTTTGGCTCGCCGCCTTGTATCACTCTGATTTCCGAGCACTCGCTGTACTTCACTCTGAAGTAACTGGGGGTTTGGTAGGATTTCAGGATAAGATAATAAAGATTGGGCAGGAATAAGTGCCAGACCCTGCCTTTGCTATATATATGAAGGTGGACCTTCTGAATGATTGTGGTCTTCTTCTGGAAGATTTGACTGCATTTGAGGACTGGTGTCAATTAAATGGGTTCGTTGTTAATAATGGATATATTGGATATCCACACCAAGGTGCAGATTCCTATACTGCTAACTTTTGCTGCTAACTATCGATGTTGATGTTATTGAAGAAGCTACCATGATGTGAATGTTTTTTCTACATCCAATTGCGATTTCAGAAATAACTTTGGAATTATCAGGAACAAAGCCGTTTATTAAGAGAACGACTGTGGATTTCAATTATTCCTTGGCAAACAACCTCCTTTATCAGTCACTTCTTAAAAGCCATTTGGAGTGGTTTAGACAGTCATGAAAAAGTACAACGATGAGCAAAATCAACACCCGAAGTATACTGGCTATCATGAAGTTAGTAGTTGGTCATATCACAAAATAGGTAGTTTTTTAAACTTACGCACAGTTTAGTTAATGGTGTAGTTGATACTCCTAAGGTGGTCGCAATACTGTTTTTTTTGTTGTGAACATGCACTAAGTACATCTTCATTGGCCTCCACTTTGGGCACCAGTCTTCGATACGCTGAAGGTGGATGTTGGAGCTGGTATAGGATTTTATTTAGAAGACTTTTTCATAGGATTCTTTGGTCCGTTTTTGATGGGGAAAAACAAAAAGAAATAGCTTAAAATAATTATTGGTAATATTTACGATGTGAATGAGTGATGAAGAATTATTTCGATATTCTTGGCAGTTGCCAAAGAGAGGGCTTTTTACAAAGTTGATGATTTGTTCTTTGCTTAATTTTCCCCTCTTAATTAACCCTCTAAAGAATTTTTTTTTTAAATCAAGCAGTTCATTTTTGAGTTAGAACGTCTGGTTTGCTAATTAAAATAAGCGGACCCTCCGGAGTGAAGATGCAAAGGCTTCACCCCGTTCGGGGGAGTAAAGGGAAAAGTTTCCCTTACTTCAGCTCCTAATAACTCTAATCAAATTATTATTGATGGCTATGAGATAGGTGGGTAATTAACTTGTAATCTCAACTTGATTACCCTGAAACTTCCCATCGGAAACGGCGGCTTCTGACGGTAGGGGGGGGCAAGGGGTAAGTTATTGTTTCAAAAGAGTCTTGTTTAATCTTCCTCCCTTAAGGGCAACCCTGTTTCGGCTTTAATATGTAAGTTTACGCAAGGCCTTTTTGGAAAACCGCACTCCAAAATGGATCAGCAGTGAAGAGTTTAGGTAAATTCTTGAACGGGAGAGGAAAAGTTCTCAAGTTCGTTGATTATGGAATAGCTCAATTTTCTTTCCAAAGATGCGATTTTGAGAAAGAAAATAAATTTATTTACTAATAAATAGCAACATTTTGAAAATTAAAAACAATTTTGATCGATAATAAACAATAAAAATACTACAAATCACAAAAACGTAATGAAAAGAAGAACAAAGCAAAATATAGAAATAAATCTTATAGCAAAAGAGCTTTCAACTGTTTTCACTCTACGAACACAAACATTATCGAATTTAACATACTTTGTACAGTATTCACGCAACCGTTCTAATCGCCTTATCGTGCTATTATAATAGTACAAATTTGCGTGAACGATCTGTCAAGATTTTCATCTGCTTAATGTACCAACGTGTTCTAGAAGGTTATTCATATTTTAAATAACAATTGTGAATTTTTCTTGATTATCATCGTTAAATGATTTTACAATACCAGGCATTATTTGTATAAAAGCGCCTTGATGTCGTTTGATGAAAACGAATATTGTCCTCTTTAAGCCACCTTTTCTTGCAAGAACATCCAGATCATGGCGATAATTTGTATTTCTGCGTGCATATTTCGAAAATCACTTTTGCAGTGTTGATAATGAATGCAATCGACTCGATCATTCTCTTAAGAAGTA